GCAATCAGCTGCTCCCACCTTTGTCTCATTTTATACCTTATTCTCTTATTTCAGGATCCACTTTCTCTGCCACGCTCAGACCTCCCTTACTCCAGTCTCCTCCCAAACAGACAGTCGACCCCTAATTATTTCTTTCTCATTGGTCTCAGTTTTGCTATGTCCATAACTATGTCTGACACTTCTGATATCGTTACCTAGGCAATCTCAGCCTTTCATGGTATTACTGATACAGTGTGGGTGGCCTTGCAAGGTTCTACCCTGCAAAAGCTGCTTCAGACACCCCTATAATTATCTGGTTCCTCCCGGTTGTATATTGTTGCCTTTACACACTCCAAGATAAACCATTCAACTCCAGCCTTGATTCCCGTGCCCAGCTCCAGTTACCTCCCAGCACTTCCTTATCTCACACACAGGCAGTTTGCATAGCAGAGCAACATGTTTTGCACTTTCACAGCATCCCGCTCTCTCAGCTGCTTGATTACAAGTCATTGTCCTTGAAGTGTTCTTGGGAGAGTCTGCCGATGTCCTGCAAAGGCCTTAGCTGGTTACACAGCCTGGCTCTCCAGAGGGACTTTGCACCCACAGTGGGATTCCTCTGTTGACACACACCAATGTCAAAGCAAAACACTTGCATTTTAACTACTTGTGTTTTAAACACACTTGGATCCCATTCCCACATATCCCGCATTGAGAATGGACGTTTAGAAGTACTGAACTTTACACACTTGTACTAGGTCTTCCCATGGGATCATCACCCCAAATAGAGGGACAGGGCAGGAAAGAGATTATCCAGGCTTTGGGGTTGTATTACATACAACATATTCCTGCAGCATATAAAAGCGTCTTCTGTTACAACAGCAACACACACTGTTTTTCTAGTGTAAGTTCAAACAAACATCGGAGCTAGAATAACCCATGGGACTACTTCTTTTTGCATCTCCCAAGGCAGACAGCTGCAGCATCTGCTGATCTACAACTCCCTAATAACTTTAAAATAAAAAAAAAAAATCCAACTACCTTCTGTTACAGTCTTTAGACAATACAGAACATAGCTCACAAATATCATTATTGATTTTTTAAATGGGAATCAAAAGACAATAATGTGTTTTGAAGAACACAATCACTCAGAGAAGCCCTTCTGTGTCATTTTTTCTGAACTAAAGTCTTTAAAGCCTATCATGACACAACAATAACAATTTATGTTAGTATCTTTCACAATCAAGTGGTGCTAGGAATCTTACAGGATAGAGCACTGACATGAATCAATACTACAACCAAGTTATGCTACTATATGTGGACTTGAATCCACTTGATCAAAAAGCAGATGTGCCAGGATGAAAGAGGCACCATCTCCAGAGATATCTGTGTTTTCAAAAAGCCAAAGAAACTGCAGAAAACCACAGGCATGTGCTACTACTACAAACATTTAAGCTACAACTGGTATTGTTTTGCCACCATTACTGGAAAAAACCCTGCAACACAGACTGGTCTTTAGTCATAAGTTCAGAACACAAAGACAGACATTTGTTTGGTGTGTAAGTACTCACATCCTGAGAAAAAACATCCGGGATGATGCCTTCACTTAACAGAGGAAGAAACAACCTGATCTTAAGGAGGCAGCTTGCTTTCCACAGCCTCTTTACTGACATGCCTTAATGAATATACTTACAGAACCAGGAGATGCATTAAGATACCACATCACACCTTGTGGAAGTTTTCCTGTGGTAACCAGGGCTGCAATACCTGCCTGAACTTGCCCTTGTACCTAAAAAAAAAAAAAAAAAAAAGGCAACAGGAAGCTCATTCCTTCAGCAATTACATGAGTTACACGCTCAGACAGGGAGCAAAGATAGAGGACACAGGTAAAGAAACAGCTAAATTCAGCACATAAAGCCAGCATGGAAAAATTTCAAAAAGCACTCACCAGAACTTCAGGTTCTTTCTTGAGTCAGCAAAACAGTAACACCCAAAGAACTGTAAATTTTAAAGTAACAGACTGAATAACATAGAAAAGAGCCTACCGCTAAATAATTTAGAAATTAATCCTACTGCCTTTTTGCTCCCTTTTTTTTTTCCCCCCAGCTTTGGTTTACCCCCAGACTTTTTACTCACACTCAGCCACAGCTAAGCTAGTATTTGTACTCACTGCTCATCTAGTAGTTGTAATTAAGCAAGAAGCCATATCAATGGCTTCCATCAGCCCTGTCTTATTGTAAACACCTGCACTGTCCTGGGCCTTCGGAGATAGAAATCTCTGCAGGAGTTTTGAAAGGATGACTCGGCCTTCAAGGTCAGCTCATCATTACCCAGCACAACAGCAGCAGCAGTACACACTCCTTAGGGATACTTAGTGACTCCATGACCTTAGAGGTCTTTTCCAAACTAAATGATTCTTTGATTAATGCCTTATACCTTGCTCTGCTGCAGGTGGTCTCAATAGCTGAAGCTAATCACCTACAAATCACTCTTTAATTGCAAACACTGTTGATTGCAATTAGTTGCCTGGCTTCTATGAATTTATAAAAATGACCTGTTTAGGAAACCACTAGTAAGTCTAATGCACAAAAATATGGAAAGTAATAGGATGCAATTATACAAATTGGCTTTATTGTATCACCAATAGCAAATTGGCTTTTGCCTCAATTTTACCAGGTGAAATTTGAGAATAGCTGGATGGGAGCAGTGAGAGGTGAAAGGTGATGCTTATGCTGAACCCAGGAATTGCTTCTTTTAGAGAAAGGCACACAGAGGTATCTTAAATAATAAAGGACAACAACAGTCCCTATTTTCTGAAATACACTTCTGGGAGAGAAGTGCAAGTAGCTGATGACTAGGGCCACAGACAGGACATTTGATGGATTTCAGGGAAGGGTGCCTGCCCCCAAGCAGCCATGTGCATTGTTTTGTTTCCATGTACATTGTTTTGTCATTTTGCAGCTCGGCACACGCTCCTTGGAGGTTGGAGAAAAGGAGTCTAAAGGAGACCACATAGTTCTCTGTAACTACCCAAAGGGAGCGTAGTGTGGTGGGGGCCAGTCTCTTCTGCTGTGCCTGTAGTAAGAGGACCAGAGGAAATGGCCTTAATCTGAGGCAGGGGAGATTCAGAGTAGATATCTGATTTTTTTTTTTTTTTCCAGTGTTCTGGTGGTCAAGCATTAGACTAGCCTGCCCAGGGAGATGGTGGTCACCATCCCTGGAGGTGTTTAAGAAGCCTCTGGATGTGGCACTGGGTGATATGGTTTAGTGTTTCAGGCGTAACAGTGGTGGTGCTGGGCTGATGGTTGGGTTGGATGATCTTAAATGTCTCTTCCAGCTCGATGATTCTATGTTTTTAAGCCTCTCTGACTGTACGACTCCGTGACTCCGAGTGTTGTCGCCCCCGGCCCGGCCCGTTCCCGTTGCCCTGGCGACGGGCGGACCGACCATAGAGAACAGTCCGCCTGCCCGGCTAGCGGGGCTCGTGCCGCTGGGAGGCGGGGCTATGTAAATGAGGGAGCGGGGTGACCTCACGCGAGATGGCGGCCGGGAGGTGGTGGCGTCTGCGGCTTCACTCGCCAGGACACAAGATGGCCGCAGGGCGGGGCCGGGCCTGGCCGGGAGGGTGCGCGTGCGCGGGCGCGCCGTGCGGCGGCGGAGCGGCGGGGGAGCGCAGGTAGCGGACGCAGGTAGGAGGCGCCGGGGGTTTGAGTGGCTTTCCCGCCCCATCGCCGGCTCCGGTTTGTTTCCCCGCCTGCAGCGTAACGCGGTGGCGTGGGAGGTCTCCCGCCTCCACTCAGGCAATTCGGGTGGGATGGAGGAGATAACCCCCCCCAGTGGGGCCGTTCCCCCTTTCCCTGCAGTGGTAGAGCCCTAGTATGTACCTCCCGCCGTTACTCTAGACGGTCCCACTTTGGGCCGGGGGGTGCCCGTCCTCCCTCGCTCCCTGCTGTCAGTGCCCGTGGGCGGCAGTCACGGTCCTTGTGGAGTCGGTCGGAGTCTGGGTCCCGGTAAGGAGAGGCGGTCCTGGAGCGTGGAGTGGGGCTGTGGTGTACCTGTCACACCTTCCCCTCACGTGGCAGCACAGCCCACTGCCTTGGAGCCCGCGGGAGAGCCCCCCGCGGGAGGGTGGCCGTGCCCCGGAGAGCCCACGGCGGGAGAGCCCACGGCGGGAGGGTGGCAGTGCCCCTGCCTGGCCACTCGTTCCTCCCCCAGGGCTGTCAGGCCTCTCCTCAGTGCGGGGGGCCCTGTGGATGGGGCAGTGCGGTGGCAGCGCTGCTCGGCCGTGTCCAGAGGCACGGCGTCCCCATCCCCGGCCTCGCTCCACAGGTATCGCCTGGCTCCCTGTGCTCCTGTGGCACATGTGGGACATCAGCAGCTGCAGCTGGTGACCTAGTGCTGTGTTTTTCAGATCGAAATGCCACAGAGATCCCTGGTGGCCTCAGCAGCTCGGTTCCTTCCAGTTCTTCATTAGCGGTGTGTGGCCCTGTGGCTGCAGCTGGGGCATCGCGGGGGGACTGGCTTTGGGAGGTTTGCACAGGTGAAGAGACTCCCTGTTGGGGAGACAGGCGTGTAGCAGGAACTCCTGATGGCTGCACTTGGCGAAGTGGTAAAAAGTGCCTCTCACCTGGTGCTTCCTATGAAGTCTTAAAGAACAGACAGCATACCTGCAATAATCCCCTCTTGTAGCCTCTGTGATCCTACTCCTGGGGGTTGTGTTCAATGAGGACTTCATATTAACTTCCAGATTTGTAATTTGAGGCCAGAGTTACCTGCCAGTGGTTCCTATGCTAGTGCTGAGAGGTCCACTACAGGATCAGAGTATTGACATTGACAGAAAATGATGGGGAAGCCAGTATTGTTAGTACACCTAACACACTTCCCTTACACTGTAAAACAATCGTTTAGACACGGGATGCCATGTATTGTTAAGTTAAAAGCCTTGTCAAGTTCCAAGGCTATGAGATCTACCCAGTTACCTCTATTAACAAACCTTGTGTACCCATTAGGGAGTGAGATGTGATTGAAGGAGATTGCTCTGCTGGAACACAGCTCCACAGAAACTACCAGCTGGTTTGAGACGTAAATTGTCTGCGTGGCAGTTGTGTTTACGTGTATGAGCCTGGCGGGAGTGACGGAAGCACCTGATGGAAGCACATGATTGATTGCCTGTAACAAGAAGGGTGTTACTGAACTCATGATACACAATGGTCAGTGATTCTTCAATTGGTAAACAGTACTGGCAAATGCCCTCATAGTCTCTTCCAGGCATGTTTCCATGCCTGATCCAGGTGGTGTCAAGAGTTTCAAAGGCTTCATTGCTTCACCCTTCCAATACCAGGCTGCTGGGAGTCTGCTGTAGGGGAGTTCCTTCTTGTTTCATACAGGACTGTGTTTGGCATTCCCTTGGGACTCCCTCTTAGTAAGTGGGTTATCTGAGGAAATGTGAAGATTTCAGAAGTAGTATGACAGAGAAACAGAGCCTTGGAGCTACATTCACCTCTAAGAGTGTGCACAGGATCAAAGTTTGGTTAGAGGAATAAAGTTTTGTGTGGTGTGTGTCTAGGAAGGAGCTCTTCTGGGACAGGAGTAGGCTTTTAAAAGCATTTTTTGTTTAAGAGGAGGCTCTTTCAGTTTCATTCAGTGAAAAAGCTCTGTGGAGGGATTTCCCATCTTGCTGACAGAATCTGCCAGAATCCAAGTAGCTTCATGTAGTTGAGGACCCTCTGAATTGTCTTATGTCTTGAACATTTCTGGGGAAGGAGTGTGCAGAACCTGTTCTGTGCTCCCAAATTGGACTTGTCAATGGTGGATAAGCCTGACCAGATGAAGACACCCGTGACTGTCACTTATGGGGTCTGGGAGGAATTGATGTGCCCAGCACCAAGTGCTTTGCTGGGACAGGTCACAGAGCATCAGCCCTTTCACAGGTGCAGCTCCAGCCCAGCGTCCCTATGAATGGGGCTGGACTACCAGCATCCCAGTCCTGTCTGGGCATGACAAATGCCTAGAAATAGGGTCCTCTCTAGGTGACTTTTCCAGCTGATGGGTGGATTTATTGTGTGGCAGTTGCAGAAACATGGAGCTGGTGTATTTGGCCCTGTGCTAGTAAAACACCCAAAATCCAGGATGTGCACCAGAAGCAGTGTAGTTACAGCTGAATCAAGCACAGACATATCCTGAAGTATTATTTGGGACAGTCCAGCCTGCATTACCCACCCAGTGGAGAATGAATGTGAGAGTCATCCTGTTACTGCGGTCAGGTCTGCAGATGACTATTTCAGGCTCTTGAGTGGCAACCTCAGCACATAAAAATCGTCTGGCCTTGCTTAAAGGGCTGGCTTGGGCCAAGACTCACATCTATGGCTCTGCTGGTAGCTCAGTACAAGTGACTTCTGCTGTGGAAGGCTGGAGCTCAGCCTTGGAAGGCCAAAGCGTTGCCGAATCACAATGGGACACAGGGACTTATGAATCCAGCTGTGAGCTGGCTGGGAAGTTACAGCAGCTGTGCGAGAGCTGTGGTGTGTTTCCAGACACTGCCATATGCCAGAACTCTCAAACAAAAGTAGAGCTTTCCTGGTAGCCAGTATTCAAACATCCTTCTCAGGAAGATAAGATCTGCAGACGTCACTGGCAGGAGCCAGATGTCAAATGCGGAGGCGGAAGTTCCTCAAATAAAGGCTCATTTCTTTCTAATTTACGAACTTGTTGCTTTAGGACTGTGTGTAAGAAGTTCAGCATGAATGAATAGCTATTCCCTCCTGCAGCTCCTTTTCCCATTACTGCTTACAGCCTCATGTTGAAATGTTGAAAAGCTCTGACATACTCCATGAGTAATTCTCCATCCCAAGGAAAAGGTTATGAAAATACCAGTGTGACGAGCTTAAATAATGCAGTGCTTTGGGTGTAGAAGCAAAATCTGCTTTTTACAGACAACTATGATTTGTTTCTTTTTAACTGCACATTTGCAGATGGGGAGGGGAAAAAATATCTGTAAAATGACCTAACAACTATCCTAGCAAAAAATCACAAATATCAGCTGGCTGGAGGGGTTGCACATCTGTGAGGGAGTGATGAGGGAGAGGAAGGAAAGGAAGTAGAAGTTCACCCTCTTTGAACAGCATTGTAGTATGTAAATGACAAAATTAGGTGTCTCTGAAAACTTCAGCAGCTGTGGTTTGTGCAACGTGCTCAGTGAAGCATCATTTGGATGGGGACAGCATGAAGTGCAGCACTAAGAACCAAGCCCTGAGCAGGCTCTGCTTTCAAACAGGCTTTGCGTAGCAAAGACAAGTCCAGTTTAAGAATTGCCCTTGCGGGTCACGCTGTCAGTCTGTCTCTTCCCATATTCCCATGGCAGCAGCAGGAGATGCTGTTTAGGGGGAGAACACGTGAGCTGGGCCACCATCTGTGGCCTTCCCACTTGTCCACCTGCAGCCTGCATAGCCCTCTGTTTCGAGTTGCTGGAGGGAATTTCCCTGCCTGCTCCCTTTAGTAGCTGTTTGTGTACAGCTTTTTTCCATGAATTTGTCTTGGAACCTGTTGCCCACCTGTGTAACCTTTGAGAACAAATGTCAGGTGTTTGCTACCTGCCAGGTAAAGAAGTATTTTTGTGTACTTTACACTGATTTTTTGCGAGTTACAGTGAGTGCTCCCAGATCTTGTGCCCTGACCGTTCCACATTCACCTTATTCCCTGTGCATGGGACTGTAAAACCTGAGTCATGTCCCCCTTCAGCCTTTCCTCTCTGTCTGAAGAGCCCCACCTGTTTAGTCTTCCCTCAGAGGGCAGCTGCCTCCGTCCCTTGGGCACCTGAGTTGCCCTACTTTGTTCTCCCTGATCTCCACATGCGGGAAGTTTGTAGTGAGGTTGGATGTATACACGCAGTGGTCATGGTTTGGATACACTGAGGTTTCATGTGGTGCAAAATTATTCTGTTCCCTTGTTCTCCATCCCATTCATGAGAGTGCATTGCACTCTGGTGCCTTCATCTGCCCTTGAGCTGGTACTCCACAGAAGGCTCTTGGTGAGAGACAGAGGACTTTGTGGTGGCACAGTTGGCTTAGCTCTCCCCTCTTCTTAACCTTTATGTTTAGACATCATGATTCCTTTTCAATTGCGTACAAAATTCAATTTCCCTTTGAGGCTTGTCTGTCTTTAATTACACCTACAGAAGTTCATTGTCTGGCTGAATTCCCCTCCAAGCAGTGTCTTCCTTTTAGCTGGCCGTGGGTTTTGGCATGGCAGGGATGCAGAATGGTGACTTAGCTCCACAAGAGCTCTGCAGTTGGATCCAGTTGAGGTTTAGTGCTCTGGCTGGGAGTGAAGCTGATGTGCAGTTTCAATCTAGTGATGTAATTGATTGGAACAAATGCTGTTGCTCTTCTTTCTGAACTAGTTATGAGGAATTCCTTGGCCTAGGCAGAGCGGATGGTTATTTTTGCTCTTCTAATCTTGCCTAGAAGTGGTCAGACTCATGGCTTCAGGGAAATGCTGAATGGGACTGGCATTTCATCAGGTTTCATACCCAGATGTTTATTCTTCTGCTTGATCTTCTGCTTGGACATGCTGCAGCTGGTGCTGGAAGCCCGACGAGGCTGGCTCAGTGCACAGGTTCCCGTTCCTTATGTGCTCACTCTGATCCCGCCTTGCAAAGTCCCAACAGTATGTCTGAGCTGGGTGAGTGCTGACCCTGGAGGGCTGAAATGGAAGTGACTACCAGCCCCTTATCTGGCTTTTGACAGTGTCAAGAACATGACCTTGTTGTTACCCTTCATGTATGTGCTGTGAACAGGCCTTCTTATGACAGCAGGGGCTGGCTTGCACTGATTTAAGTACCCTTAATATCTCACATAAGTGCCTCTGAAGAGAGGCCTTGTGTTTTGCCTTTGGTCTGTAGCAACTTGAGCATGAGAGGAGGCTCAGCCTGCAAAGCACAAGAGAACATCGTGGGAGGATGCTGGTCCATCTCCTGGCCGTGAGCTCCAGTCAGTGCCAATGTGAGCAGTCCTCTCCTCACACTCAGCCCCTTGAGAACATCCAGCAACTTGTTCTGGTCTAAGGCTGCTGTTTCCACTGGTTTTATTTCTGTACATATTGCTCTCCAGCCAAAGTGTCTTTGCTTCAGACTCTGATCCTAAAATCTCGGCCACTCCAAGACGAGCTGGAGAGCTGCTAAGGCACTTCTGGTTGCCTTTATCATATGATGGCAGCATGTCTGCTGCGTGCCATCACGTTCTGGTTGTGTCTCTTCATGCCAAGAAGCGGCAGCACTGCTTGCCATAAATAACTCCTGTCTGAGCCGGCCCAGGTGCAGTCAGCTGTGGCTGCCCACGAAAGCAGGGTGCACGTGTGAGGTTGCATCACAGCTGTTGTCATTTTCATTTGGCTAAAAATTTACACTGGTACCTAAAAACGTCAGGGACTAGGTGTGTTTTCTGAAGCTGCTTTGTTGTTTGCAGCTGTTGAGCTTGATTGCTCCTTTGACCTTGCCTTTAAAGAGCTTTAAATAAATCTGCTACTTGCTGGATAACAAAGAACATTACAGGGTAAAGGACGGGGCGTACTGCCGGGAGCTCGCAGCCTGGCCTCACTTAATGAAACAGCTTTAGTGCAGCAGAGCGCTTCTAGTCTCTTAAATCCCCTCCAATCCACTTTTGAACAGCTACTCAAAGCAATATGAATTCTGATCTCTGCAGACAAAGATTTACCAATTAACTTGATTCAACTTCTACTTCATTTGAGAAATTGAACCTGGTTTCATTTTATTTATTTTTGTTTATTTTTCCTCTCCTGCAGGAGCAACAATGGATTGGCCCCAACAAAGATGTAGCAGATGTTGGGAGAAGACGTCACACCTGAAATGGAGGTGATTGAGGGAGCTGAATGCTGACTGCACCAACATGGGGTTGCGACTGCTGGCTTGTCTTTTCCATTTGCCCACTGCTGTGATCTACGGGTCCCTGTCGCTCTTTGTTTCCATTTTGCACAACGTATTCCTCCTGTACTACGTGGACACCTTTGTCTCTGTTTACAAGATTGATAAACTGTCCTTTTGGATAGGAGAGGTTAGTCTTTTCCATAAGTTTTGCCCTCTTAAGTAAGAAATTCTGAAACTAAGACTGCTCCGTACTAGACGTGTGAAAAGTGTTAGCTGTAACAGCAGTGTTCCCCTTTGGGAGCCTTAGGGAGCCTTCTAAGTGCTAATTTGAGCTTTTCAGTTTTTCCTACTTATATAAAGATAGAACGAGCTGGGACTGAAAACCCAGAAACTTTGTTCTCAAGACTGCCTTTTCTCTGGTGACATTGCAGGGTTTCATAGGCAGGGAAAACCACTGGCCTCACTGCCAGTTGCTCCAGACAGGGGAATCCTAGAGGAGTGATAGGGCAGGAAAGGTGGGCTGGGACAGTTCCTGCTGGTGGCTTACTGTGCCAGCTCAGCATTGCTTGCTTCAGTGGCAGAACTGAGTCTTTGTGGAAGCTGCCCTGCGGTTTGTTTCACTGTCTTGTTTTATTTTCCTAGACAGTGTTTCTGATCTGGAACAGCCTCAATGACCCTCTGTTTGGCTGGCTGAGTGACCGAGTGTTCCTTAGCACACAGCAGTAAGTGAAGTTCCAGCAGAGGCTGGGAAGCTGTTCGTTCTCTGGGGAAGATGATGTGAAATTGGGAGCTTTAAAATGATGGCGAGGGAATGGTTTCTGAGGCATAGAACTCTTAAATACCTTTTCCTGGCACCTTTGAAGCTCATTAATGTTGTTTCAGTTCCTGGCTGTATAGAGGAAGTCACACACCTATTGGGTGGATGTGACCCTAACCCTCAACAATCATGAGGGGCGCAGAACCTAAAATATGGGTGTCAAACATCTCAAGCCCCTCCTATATGAGCAAGACTCGTAGTGGGCTGTTGGAGAGTGTCTGTACATGGTTTGGGAGGCAGAACGGGAAAAGGACAGTTATTTCCACATGGAATGCCTCAGACCAGTTGTTCCCAAACTCTCTGAGATGGGAGCTGAGCTCTGCATTGTTGGCCATTAGCATTTCTTGTGTATTTACATCAATGTTTTAATGAAAATCACAGTGTAGCTTTCTGCAACCAGTAAAAACTCATTGAAATAATTTACATTGTGCTACATGCAGACAGTGCAGCATTGTCAGGAAGAGACTCTCTCTGGAGAAAAAAAAATCCCTTTTCACCCTTTTTGGTCTTCTTAAACCCATATTTTCAGTGTACTCACACATTATGTGAGAAGGTATTTGATGTGGGTGCTTGTTACATGAGCAAAAGCTCTATTTGTGTCTGTGCCACTTACATGACTCCCTTGGAGAGAAGAACACATGGTTATGCAGGGCTTTGTCCAGGTGTCTAAAATATTTTTTTTTCCTTCTGTTGCAGACCAGGAGCAGAGATTTCTTCCCCTGAAGTAGTTCTGAAGAGGCTCAGAGCACTAAGCCACAATGGCCCCCTCTTTGCCATCTCTTTCCTGGCTTTCTGGGTTGCCTGGGCTCATCCTGGTTTGCAGTTCCTCCTTTGCCTTTGCATGTATGACAGCTTTCTCACCATGGTCGACCTCCATCACAATGCCTTGCTCGCAGATCTGGCTGTTTCAGCAAAAGACAGGACTAGCCTCAACTTCTACTGCTCCCTCTTCAGTGCCATAGGCTCCCTCTCTGTTTTCATGTCCTATGCAGTGTGGAACAAGGAGGACTTCTTTTCCTTTCGCATATTTTGCGTCCTGCTGGCCCTCTGCTCCATCACTGGTTTTACACTGTCCACACAGTTGCTCCGCCAGCGGTTCCAGGCTGATGGGAAAGAGAAATGGGATCAGGAATCAACCTTAAAAGAGTAAGTGTCACCAGTTCTCAGCAGAGACAAAAACCTGGCATAGGTCTGCAGCAAACTGAACGTGTGGGAAGATCCAGGACAAGGCAGACTTTTGTTAATCATCTGTGGTTTTGTCTATTGATACAGTTTCCAGGATCAGCTCTGTCACACTAGCTCTGAAGGCCCTCTGAAAATAGAACAAACCTTTCTTGTGACACCCCTGGCCCAAACTGGAGGCAGATCCCTGACCTGCTGTATGGCCATCCAGTGTTTGGAATATGAAATGAGTTAATATCTAGAGCACCCAGTGAGGCCTGTGAGTGGCAAAATGTCAGATGCAGCTTATGAAAGCATTTCTGCTTGAGCATGAGACCACCTTGCTGCCCATTCCCTATGGAGCTGGACAAGTGAATGTCTTGCCCTGTTACTTGCTTTAGCTGCCTGGTAGTGGCTGTGCTGTTGGTAGGCCACAGCACAGCTGATGTTCCCTGTTTAGTTCCTTGCTTTTCTTTGGGCTGCCACTCTTGTCACCTCTCATTAAGAGCTGCCAGCATTATGCTGTCGTAGCAGTGGATCCTGATGAGATCTGCCAGGTGAGCTAACCACAGGGATCTGGAAGAGAAGCGTGTATATAATAGCGGAATGGCTAATAAGAGAATGTGTTTATGGGCAGAAATTTGAATTTTGTATTTGGAAGATAGGTGTACCTTGGGAGACCTGTTACCTGTGGCTCTTGCTAGCAATAAGCAAATGTTGTTGTAGACTCCACTGTTTCGATTTGGTCCAGGAAGAGGAACAGCTGGGTTGGGAGCTGAGAGAGACAGCTCTGCAACTATGTAGGAAGAGCTGGGGGCTCTGTCCTGCCTCCTGTGAGGGATTTATGGTCGCTGTTTTCCCTCCTTTCCCTTTAGGCTGTACATTGAGAAACTCTCCGTCCCCCAGGAGAAGAGGATCACCCTGGCAGAGTATCTCCAGCAGCTCTCCCGGCATCGTAACTTCCTCTGGTTTGTCTGCATGAATCTTGTCCAGGTAGGCACAGCCGTGACACACTCTGATTCAGAGGATGAGCGCTGGCTCTGGCTGTTTGACATGGTGATTCAGCAGCGTGTGAGTTCCCCAGGAAGGGCAGAGATGTTTCCAGCACCCAGTTTCTCTTGGAGGCTCCTGCACATGCTGGCTGATTCAGCAGCTGGTAGCCACTCTCCCTGCTTGTGACTGAGAATACTTCCTGAGCAAGCTGTGGGGTGCTCCTTCCTCTCTCTGGAGCGTAGGCTGGATTACAGGGGCTGGCTGAGCTCTGTGCAGCCCATCTGGGGTGCAGAAGCACAGGGCCTGGCTGGCTGGTGTGGCTGTCAGCACAGTCTCCTTCCCCTTTCCGCTTTCCTGAGGCTCACATCACTGTCTGTTCTCGCTGTCCAGCTGGATCTACCTCTCAGTTGGCTTTGCCATTTCTGTTCTTCATCCTCTTCAGTGATTACTACCAAATTTCGGCAGCCTGCCCAGCTTTGTGTGCTGCAGTCACAGCTCCCTGGGGATCCCTCAGTTCCCCTCAGGCAGGCTCTTGATGCTGGTTTGCATCTTTGTGTTCAAGCCTTGCTGCCGCCCTATCTGTGTCCTCCTGCCAGCAGCCTCCTCCCTCCTGCCATGCCGCTGTGTCCCCAAAGCCTCGTGGTCACTGCTGTCACCTGCTGGCCCTGCTGGCCCCAGCAGCCCTGCGCTGTGCGAGCCGAGCCGTGGCAGCTGGGCAGCAGTGCTGACCCTGGGCACATGGTGGGCATGGCTGGGGGCATTACAGCTTTGCAGTCTCAGCTGACAGTGCCAGAAACTCCACAGCCAAGCTCTTGCTCTGCTGTAGTACTCCAGGCCCATCCTGCATGGTCCCTTGGCATGGGGCTTTTAGGACAACAGAGCCCAGAGGGCTGTTAGCTTTTTCTGTTCTCTCTCACTGCTGTTCCGGCTGACCGGCTTGTCTGCATGCTGCCTTCACAGGTTTTTCACTGCCATTTTAACAGCAACTTCTTCCCTCTGTTCCTGGAGCACCTGCTGTCAGACCAGATCTCTGTCTCTACTGGATCCTTCCTGCTCGGTGAGTCTCAGGTGGGACTGGAGGGAGCAGCTGAGTTAGGTAGGACTTGGCCCAAGTCTGGGTTTGCTCTTCCCAAACTCTGTCTGGGGAGAGGTGTGCTCACATGCAGGTCTCTGGGCTATCACACATGCACACAGCCCACATGCTTCCTGGGACCTCCAACTTGTTCTTCCTGGGCACAGAAGTAAATTGGGGCCTCTTCTAGTAATGACAAGCCTGGCATGCTGGATGCCAGACTCCACAGAGGTATTGCTCTGAGCATTAGAGGCTGCAGATAGTTTCCCCAGGATGTTGCAGGGAACACAGCCCTGAATTTAAACCCTTTCCCTCTACAGCATAATATGGACCATTTCCAGGCTGCCACAGATATGTGGGCAGTGATCCTAGAGTTACCCTGGAAGGATTCTGTGCAGGCTAGATCTGGTCAGGCAGTTCTGTCTTTCTGATTTTTGTTCCAGGGCTGAGTCACAGCCTCTGTGTGACACTGGGCAAATCTCTTCTTTCCTTCCTGCCCATGAGGTTGATGGGAGAAGGCCTCCCTCTGTAGGAAAGTGTGTGCTGTGCCACGAAGCCACAGAGTAAATCTGCTGCAGCCTTCTGTATGTGCATAGGGGATGCTCTGTATTGTGTCCTACAGTCCTGCTGGCAATAGCCAGCCTTGTTCTCTTACTCTCAGTATCAGACTTGGGGGCATGGTGGAAACTGAAACTCCATTGAGCTGTCTGTGCCTGTGTCTCTGCTCAGGTGTTTCCTACATTGCCCCCCATCTCAACAACCTCTACTTCCTGTCGCTCTGCCGCCGCTGTGGGGTTTACGCTGTAGTGCGAGGACTCTTCTTCCTGAAGCTGGCTCTGAGTGTTGTCATGCTCCTGGCAGGACCTGACCAGGTGTATCTGCTCTGCATCTTCATTGCCAGGTAGGCAGGCAGCACTTGCTTCCCCTGCCCTCTGCCACCTGGGAAGCAAAATTATTTGTCCCTGTTTTAAGGAGAGGGGTGGGAGGCAAGGAACAATAGCCAGGGTCACACATAAGCCATGTGATTTCCAGCTCTGAGAGCGTGTGAGATGGGTCACTGCAGTCTATTTGCTGTGAGGGAGGCAGCAATGCTCAGGAGGGCACAGACCAGCCAGACTGGCAGCAGCCTTTCCAAGCTGCTGAGAGCTCCTCTCCTCCTCTACAGCCCTCAGTGTGTTAGCCCCTGGCCTGGTTTGTCCTGTCCTCAGGCCTGTCTGTGTGGCAGGTCAGGAATGATCCAAGGCATTGCTGCAGAGTACAAAGTCTTATTGCTAGTGGTGTTCCCCTCCTGTAACCTGGGCTTCTGAAATTCTTATTTAAAGTGTGGGGAAACCTATCTCACTCTCTGTCTGTTTTCGCTGATCTCTCACCTACTCCTGTCATTTCTTGATATGCCTATTCAGTGCTTTGCCTGTTGTTCTGCAGCAACCGTGTGTTCACAGAAGGGACCTGTAAGCTGCTGAACCTGGTGGTCACCGACTTGGTGGACGAGGATCTAGTCCTGAACCGTAGGAAGCAGGCAGCCTCAGCCTTGCTCTTTGGGATGGTGGCTCTGGTCACCAAGCCGGGCCAGACCTTTGCCCCTCTGATTGGCACCTGGCTGCTCTGTGCATACACAGGTAAGGATGCTCCTGGGGAAAGCAGCGGGGCAGCAGAGGGCACACGTGCAAGTTCAGTGTCCTGTCCCCTGGGTGGGGGCAGAGGGCTCTTCCAGTTGCTGAGCTGTGCCTGGTCACTGCATCTCCACAGCCAGTCACTCAGAGAGAATGGATGAGGGTCCATCCCCAGTGTCCCCAGTCTCACAAACTCTTCTCTGACACCAGGCTACGACATTTTCCAGCGCAACCCCCTGAGCAACGTGGTGAGTGCCCAGCCAAGGCTGGAGTCTGCCGTGGCCTTGGAGCCAACTCTTCGCCAGGGCTGCTTTTACCTCCTCGTCTTCGTCCCCATCACGTGTGCGCTGCTGCAGCTCCTCAGCTGGTCGCAGTTCAGCCTGCACGGGAAGCGGCTGCAGATGGTGAAGGCTCAGCGGCAAAGCCTGACTCAAGGCCGAGCACCAGAGGTCAAAACAATCTAGGGGTGCCCAAGCCCCCAGGGTGCTTCTGGCTCCAGGCTGGTGCCAGAGGGCAGGTGAAACGCTGGGGTGGCAGGCTGAGAAAGTCTGGTGTTTGCGATTCAACTGTGAAATGCTGTCATGCCAATGTTTACTCTTTCCAGGAGGTGGTCACTATTGAAGGCATAAGTTCAGCATGGGAGGGGCCTGGGACAGATCATTTGGCCACAGGAGCAAGAACATTTTATCCCAGCCTGTCCCAGGAGCAGAGAGCTGCTCATTCTAGTGAGGAGGTGCTGGATTGCAGTGTTTGCTAGAGGCAGACACGTCCCCAGTGTGCTCCTCTGCCCTGGGCATGGCCCTGGGGAGCCACAGCCTCTGGCTAAGCAGGAGGAGACTGTACAGGGAGTCCTTCCTTGCTAGAGCCTTGCAGCTTTGGGGAGTGGAGTGGGAGGCTTCTGAGGGACCAAGTAACAGAGGGCATGATGACAGAACAGCAGGAGCAAGGATGAGAGGACCTCAAAGGCCTTTCCCAGTAACTGGTACAACCCTCCCACATACAGTGCTGCAGTTCTTGGACCAAATCCACTCTTAAGACATTTCTTGTTTCCAGGACAACATCCTGCACAGCCAGAGTCTGCTGGCTGTGTTTTATGCTGAGGTTCCGTCCTTTGTGGCCTTGCAGAAGGCCTCGTTGCCAGCCTGAGAAAGGTGCAGGGCTTGAACTGAATTCAGAGCCTTGAGCTGGATCATCTCAATGGCATCCCGTTGCCTATGTTTATCCCTCCTCTCCCCTCTGCAGTCCCTTCCACTCAGTGCTGCCACACAGCTGTGCCATGAGCCCCCTCCCATGCTGGCACAGACCAGGGAACCAACCCCTAAATGAGCCGATGGAAGTGCCTCCCTGCCCAGGGCCATCCCAGGTGACCTGGTGAGGCAGCCTGGCACACTCCCGTTGCAGAGCACAGCCTGGAGGAACACCAGGTCTTGCTTTTGTGCCTTCAGTTCCTCTTTGGAGCCTGTCGGATACAATGCTGGGCAGTCACAGGGTTGAGATTTTACAGCTGTGGGGAGAGGTAGACACCTCAGCTCCTCTGTGCTGGAAACAGTGCCTGAGTTTGATCATCTCACCGGGCTGCTGAGACAGGGATCCAACGAGGAGAGCAGGTGTTTGGTTTCCCTGGTTTTGGCTGGGAGCAGATGGGACAGGTAATGCCCAAGGGGGTCTCTGAGGTAAGGGGGTGTCTCCTCAATCCCTGTGATATGTTTGGGAGCAGGGAGAAGGGATGTGCCAAAGTCTGTGCCTGCTGCAGGAGGAGGAGGGTAGGCAGGCAGCGTTGCTGCAGGCTGAGGGATGTGTTCTTTTTTTAGTGCCAGGTTCCCTCTGGGGTCTCAGCCTGCCAACCTGCCATCTTGCCTCAGGACACGGCTGCCTTCTGTCTTGGACCAAGACATTCCTGCCGTGAGGCTTCTGTAGCTCTTGATTGTTCAATCATAAGTTATTTGTGCAACTTCTAACCAAGTTCAAGAATGATTCTTCATTTCATAAATTAAAGATGATCTTTTTCTGAATTGCTTGATTTTCTTCCAGCTGGTGGCTCTAACCTGGACAAGTGCATGTGGTGCTTGTGGGGACACAGCTATGGCTGTGTGGAGACAAGGGGCAGAGGGGATCAATGGGCTGGAGTGGGTATTGCTGCCTTGCGGGGGGAGGTGTCGCTTACCCTTCTGCTTTGGAAGGCCCCAGGGTTAGGTCTGTCCTGTTCTCACTCATCTGCTGAGGTCAGTTGCAGGACTGGGCACTGTACCCTCTTCCCAAGGCCTGCCCTGCCCGCACTGCTCAACACTTTAGTTCTCTGCAAACACCCTTGCTGTTATTGCCCTCACTCCTGCACAGCCTGGGCTGCCCTTACTGCCTGCCCCAGCCCTTCTGTCTGAAAGGACAGGGATCTCAGATATAATGGTTGCAGAGGAGGGAGAGCAGCTTTGGACACCACAGCTGCAGCCCAGGAAGCTTCTAACTCAGTTCAAAATCCAGGCCAGGAATGCAATCCTGGACCAGAAATGGTGCCTCCTTGCAGAGACTGGCCAGCAACAATTCTGCACAGGCAAGAGAGGAACACAAGTTATTATCTCCTTAAAATTGCAAATGTGGGAAGATGAGGCCAGGAGGCTTGATGGTTGTATATGAATGATTTTATTTAAGTATGCTGGGCACCACCAGGCAACATGGTTTGGACAGTGTGCGAGGGAACAGTCAGGCAGACCAAACGCACGCTAGACCGGCTACAGCACCATTCTGTCCAGTCACTGCAGGTTACAAAATGGAGCACTGCTGCTGCAAGGCCAGGGGAGGGGCTGGGGGGGATGGAGAGCACTGGCACTGCCTGGGGCATGTCATCATGGAACCGAGAGGGGGTTGCTGCCTCCCCTCTGTACACTGCAACAAACCAGCAAGAACGGAACTGATTTTCCAGCAGGAGGCTGAGCACTAACAGTTCTTGCTTAAAAACGTTTGCTCTGATGGGGGTTGATGAACAAGCAGCCTGGCCTCACCTGGGAAAGACCACCCCAACCACCTGCCTACAGCCTCTCTGAGCCCACTGGTGAGCCCCAGGAACGTGGTTCCTGCAGTGGCAACCACCTGCTGCTTACATTCATCTCAGCTGGGGCTTTTCCCTCACCTCCTCCAGCTCTTACCCCATTTCTGTGCCCAAGAGTGATCCCAAGGTGATGGTTGGTAATGAACAGAAAGGAGGTGACCAGGAAGGAATTGCCACCAAGCAACTCCAGCTCCACTGCTACTGTCAGGTTCTGCAGAAAACTAATAAGGGTGTGGGGGGGAAGAGCACCGAATAACGCACAAGAAAAACCTAAAGGGGAAACAGTGGCATGCCCCAACACAAGCAGGTCTGCAGGCTGCCCATGGCTGTTAGAGCAGGAGAAGCAAAGCAGCCACCAGGTAAGCAGAAAGGCACGGCAGTGCAGAACACAGCCAGCAGGACAGCTTCCTGCTCACAAACCTGCCGCTCACACCAACCTCCTGGTGGGGTTTATTGTCCTCTCCTTTGGTGCACTCCCAGAGAACAGCGAGGGGTGGTGGTGCAGGGCTGGCCGTTCCGCTAAGCGTGTGTGCCGTGCGCAGCGCAAACATCAAACAGCTGGGTGGCAGGTGTTCAAAGAAGACCCAAAGCATAATTCCCAGGTGCTGTGGTCAGTATTTGAGATATCCTCAGACATTTCAATAAATAAAACAATTTTTACATTACAATGCACCTTCCCAATTATTATTTTGCCCCAGAATGGATAAAGTACACAAGAGTTATGCCTGGCTGTGAATACATGCTCCCTTTGCCCTGACATGGCAGGAAGGAGGGAAACAGCCTCGACTCTTACAAAGAACACGAGAAGTCAGCACTGTAAATCTTGGCAGGTTGAGGGGGAACACACAAGTGCCTTCACGCCCATTCCAGGGCACTTGCTTCCAGAGGAGAAAAGGTATTTAAAACAAGGTACGAGAGAATTAACCGTCTAGTACAATGATAGCTGATTAGATTTGCTTTGTTCTACTCCATGCAATACAAACTAAGTCCTATCGCCAACTTCTCCAGCTGTGGTGCAGACCCCACATCAGGCTAAGAAGTTACACACGCATACACGCACTCACACACCAAAAACAGTGGGGGCAAATGGGCTTAACTGTTGAGAATGTGCTTTCTCTTAATAAAAAATATATTAAAAACAACTTCAAAAACCTACTGATGGAGAAGACACTGCTAAAGAAGGAAGTAGCTATGGGGCCTCAGCTATGTGTTTCCAGACAATCCAGGCATTGCAGTCAGGCTGACTAAAGCCTGCACGAGCAGTCTGCAGTGGTTGGCTCCCTTCTGGCTTGCCAGGCAGTTTCTATAAGCTGTTCCCTTTGTTTTTGCTTGTTTGTTTTACAGTGACAGATGTGATTGTGATACAGAAAATAAAGGACTGAAATGAAAAAGGAATGGGCCGTTCTGGAGAAATTCAGATTGGTACTTTCTCCTTTCCATTAGAAAAAAAAAACAAAAACAAAACAAAACAAAAAAATAAAATAAAAAAGTTAGTAGTACTAATACAACCCTCCTGCTGCTGTCGTCTTTGCTCAGTGACATCGGGGCATGCTGGCGCACACACACACACACAGGCAGCTCTCAGACACTCAGACTCAAAAAAGCGAGTTTAAGTGAGTCTTCGGAGGAGACTGAGGACAGGTCCCAGGGCTAGAAGGTTTTTCGGTGGATGGCACGAGCTCCATCTTCTTCATATTCCTTTTTCGAAACCCACATTTTCTTAAAGGTGTCCAGAGAGGCCAAGATAGAACCACTGGGGAGAGACAGGCATGCTATGGGTTAGAGGAAATTTCTGGGGACACTCTCATAGTACCTCTGCAGAGATGGGCTGTTTCTATCATGACACTTGCCCATGTGAGAAAGGTGCTGAGGCTCAGTTACCTGCGATAGAAACGCTCTGCACAGTCACTCCCTTTCCTGCTATCCACAAACCTGCTGGCACTACAGAGCCTGGCACCAGCTGCCCCCTCCCACATGACCTGCTGACTGCTGCTTCAGGAACACACTGAGAATCACCCAGCTGAGCAACAAAACCCTCCTGACACACAGCACCAGGAGGGACAACAGCATCGGAGACAATGGGCTGCCTCTCCCCAGTCCCATCCCACAGCAAGACATGTCGCTGTGCAGTACATACCCAATCCATGTGGAATACAATCTCTCCTGAGGAGCTGATATCTGGGAGAAAGAGAGAATCGGTCAGTACCTTCCCAAGCTCCCTGGCACACTGTCCCTACTTTACTCCAGCTAACACCTGACAAACACAGATATGATCTCTCCCAACAGAAAGACATGTGGGCAGTCCCCCCGAAACAGCCACTGTGGTCCAGGATCCTGAACAGGGGTCATGTTGTCAGAGAAGCCATGTACTTAGTGATGAAACCAAACTGGTTTTCATCACAACAGCAAATCAGTGGGCTGTCCCAGTCAAGTAATTTCTGGTTTGAAGTAAATGGCAGCTGCACTCTACACAAGGTTCTTTCAAGGTCACAAAACAACACAGGTAGTAAGTGATAAACACAAGAGATTGCTCCTACCCTTATTTTGACGTCCTTCGGAGCTAGCTTCTTCACTTCACTCAACAGCCTGTCACCAAAGCCTACACAAGACAAAATGTGTAGTGTAAGCACCTCAGCAAAATCCCAGGTTCCATTCACTAACAATGTGGACATGTCCTGTGTAGTCCTATTCAAATATCCCAGTCCAGATCTTACAGAGAGACTAAGTCTGGGGAGTCACATAACACAGCCAGTGAGATAATGGGATTTTCTCTCACTGAGATGTCAAACACTGGCACAATGGGCTCTCCTTCAGCAGCAACTTGAGTCAAGCAAACAAGGTTTTTAGTTAGGACCTCCTCCTTCCCTAGGCATTCCTCCTTTGTCCAGCCCATTTGTACAGGGGTTGAATGGGAAGACCAGGACCTATTTGGAGATGTCAACCTGTGGATAACGGACTGATGGATTCTGGTAGAGGGTTATCTTTAGGTCAGTGAGTACCAGCTGAGCCCTGAGGGGATGGGTAGAAACCTTGCTGCACACACAGAGCTGACACTTCATGCAGGACCAGGACTGTTGGACTCTCCTGCACACCACAGACCTAAAGGAAACGCAGGAGATGCAAGAGCCTTTCAGGTACCTAGTCTCAAATATCCTGAGCTACTGCAGCAGCAATGAACACAGCTATTAAGTCCTGGCACAGGTAAAGTGATTGGAGGAAAACAATAAAAGCTGTTAAGTCCAAGAAGTGATGTACAAGGGCAGAGGTGTCCTGCACACCCAGAAGGGTGTGATTAGGACTCAGAAAAAACAGGCAGTAACTGTCCCGAGAAAGATGAATTCTCACAGTTCTCACCCCACAGGACAAGTTGGGTGATCTGGGTTATCTTCCCAGTGTCACATAAGAAGAAAGCAAGAGATCAGGTATGTCACAGCCCACAGAAAGAGAAGAGGCAGGAACCTTTGAAAAGCGTGGATCCTCCAGACAGCACGATGTTGGAGAACAGTGTTCGCCTCAGGTCCATGTCTGACTTCTGAATGGCAAAAACCAGCACTTCATGGAGTCCTTCACATTCCTCCCCTATCAGGTCTGGCCGGAATAGGAGCTCCGGGGCTCGGAAACGGGCAGGGCCAATCTGCAAGAGAAGTTAGCACAGAGGGATGAGAGCAGTGTGGCTCTGTTCACTGCCTACAGTTGGGCCTGCCTTTCTTAGGTGAAACTTCAGAGTAATGAAGTTTCCTGGACGTTCATGCTGCATCACTAGAACCCAAGTGAATGCCAGTTTGGATTACGGCTCCTACAAAGGGCATCATTTCCATTTCGCAGATGAAAGAGACAAAGAAACTTGCTTAGCTCCATACATCAGGTCAACAAAAAAAGGGAGCAAATCCAGCCCTGGTACTGGAGGTAAGACCTGTATTTCCTCTCCTGCAACCATTCTGTAGTGGGTTCAGTCTTCTGAGGAATATTCTAACTCACTTTTCAAAGCAACTGCTCCTGCACAGCAAACAATTCTAAGCAGGACAAAAGCCACAAACACAACCACTGCTGAATTTAGTGAGCTGACAACCACCCACACTCCACAAATGATCTGCATAAAGTTTTGGTAGAGCAGAGCCTGCACTCAAACAGCTCATGGTCACGCTGCATCCTTACCCAGGACTACCAAAAGTTGTTAAGGTTTCTAGTAACGTTTTCTTTCCCTAAAAATTCTACTGTCTAGTTAGAACCATAGAATCGGATGGGTTGGAAAGGACCTCTGAGATCATCAAGTCCAACCCTTGATCCACTACCACCACAGTTACAAGTGCCACATCCAGTCTCTTCTTAAACACCTCCAGGGACGGAGAATCCACCACCTCCCTGGGCAGCCCATTCCAATGTCTGATTACCCTCTCTGCAAAGAATTTCTTCCTAACATCTAACCTAAACCTTCCCTGGCAGAGCTTGAGCCCATGCCCTCTTGTCTTACTGATAGTTGCCTGGGAGAAGAGACCAATCCCCACCTGGCTCAGGGGGTAGTTGTAGAGAGTGATGAGGTCTTCCGAGCCTTCTCTTCTCCAGGCTAAACAACCCCAGCTCCCTCAGCCTCTCCTCACAGGACTTGTGCTCAAGTCCCTTCACCAGCCTGATTGCTCTTCTCTGGACCTGCTCCAGCACCTCAACGTCTTTCCTGAACTGAGGGGCCCAGAACTGAACACAATACTCAAGGCGTGGCCTCACCAATGCAGAGTACAGGGGAAGGATCACTTCCCTACTCCTGCTGGCCACGCTGTTCCTGATGCAGGCCAGGATGCCATTGGCCTTCTTGGCCACCTGGGCACACTCTGGCTCGTGTTCAGCTTCCTGTCGATTCAAACTCCCAGATCCCTTTCTGCCTGGCTGCTCTCCAGCCACTCTGTGCCCAGCCTGTAGCGCTGCAGGGTTTGTTGTGGCCAAAGTGCAGGACACGGCACTTGGCCTTGTTGAACCTCATCCCCTTTGAAATCAGCCCAACTCTCCAGTCTGTCCAGGGCCCTCTGCAGAGCCCTCCTGCCTTCCAGCTGATTGACAGTCCCCCCAGCTTGGTATCATCTGTAAATGTACTAATGGTAGACTCAATCACCTCATCTAAATCATCAATAAAGATGTTAAACAGGACTGGGCCCAGCACTGATCCCTGGGGGACACCACTGGTGACCGGCCACCAGCTGGATGCAGCCCCGTTCACCAGCACTCTCTGGGCCTGGCCATCCAATCAGTTCTTAACCCAGCACAGAGTGCCCCTGCCCAAGCCGTGGGTTGCCAGCTTTTTCAGGAGTATATTATGGGAGACAGTGTCAAAGGCTTTGCTGAAGTCCAGACAGACACATCCACAGCCTTCCCCTCATCCACTAGACGGGTCACCTGATCATAAAAGGAGATCAGGTTGGTCAAACAGGACCTGCCCCTCCTAAACCCATGCTGGCTGGATCTGATCCCTTGTCCATCCTGTAGGTGCCGTGTGATTCCTCTGGACAACCTGTCTTACTGTTGAAGACTGAGGTAAAGAAGGTGTTAAATACCTCAGCCTTGTCCTCATCTTTGATAACTATGTTCCCACCCATGTCCAATAAAGAATGGAGGTTTTCCTTGTCCCTCCTTTTGCTATTGATTTATCTCTGGAAAGACTTTTTGTTATCACTAACAGAAATGGTAAGATCAAGTTCAAGTTTTGCCTTCGTCTCTCCGATTTTCTTTCCGCAAGACCTAACTATATTCCTGAACTCCTCCTGAGTAGCCAGCCCTCTTTTCCATAATTGATAGGCTCTCTTTTTTACCCTAATTTCCTTTAAAATCTCCTTGTTCAGCCAGACCACTTGTCTTCCCCGTCAGCTTGCCTTTCGGCAGACTGGGACAGCCTTCAACAGCCTGGGATGAGTTCTGGTCTTTTAAACTTATCCACTGCCACCTAACATCACTTGAAATTTCCCATCACTAGGTAGAAACCCTGGAAACCCTGGAAAACCTGCTCTAGAAACCCTGTGCTTCACATGAGACATTTTCGCAGGGTGGCCCTTACAAACCTCAATAGTGCTTCCATCTGGCAGGTAGTACTGAGCCTTCTCAGTCTCCAGAGTCTCATCCTTCTGGGGGTTTATTGACAGGTAGCAGGCACGCTGGAGAAGAAACAGTCAGGGAGAGGAAATGTTAACCCAAATACCTCTGGTATTTTTCTCAATAATAACCGAATTCCATGTATCCCTTTAGGGAGACCAATTTCAACAGTATTTTGTGCTGAAGAACTGACATCTTGGGCTCACATCAGGTAAAATACCTTGCAATATACCACTTGTGGTCTCTACCTGCCACAGATTTTGCAGACCCTTGACTTGAAGGGTAAACACTAGTGAAAGATATCAGACCTCGAGAAACTGCAGCACAGATAAATGCAAAATGGATTCTGAACCACTAGCCCATCTTCACCTCCACGTTAACAGCCCCTCAATAGTGATTAACTGACCTTGACTATAACTCACCCAGAATACAGGATGGCTGAGGTTGCAAGAGACCTCTGCAGGTTATCCTGTCCAATCACCTTGTTAAAGAGAGGTCCCCTACAGCTGGCTGTCTGGGACCATGTCCAGGTGGCTTTTTAACATAACAAAGGATGGAGACTCCACAACTCTCTGGATAACCTGTGCCAGCACTTGATTACCCTCATGCTAAAAAAGTTTATGTTCAGACAGAACCTCCTGTGCTTCACTTTGTGCATCTTGTCCTGTTACTGGATATCACTGAAACGAGCCTGGTTCTGTTTTCTCTGCACCCTCCCTTCAGACATTTATATACATTGATGAGACCCTCCCCAACTATCTCTTCTCGTGGTTCAATAGTCCAAACTCTCTCAGCCTTTCTACATACAACAGATGCTCCAGTCCTTTAATCATCTTAGTGACCCTAGACTCCCCCAGGTAGATAATGGAGTTAGGTGCAGAGCTCAGTAAGCTGGCAATTCCCACCACATTCCACAAGCTGAAACTTCCCTTGAGAAGAAATACCCTTTTGGATAAACAGAAACAAGACAGGGCATCACCTCCTTGATGGTCTTAACAATCTCAAACTCAGAGGTGGTGTGGAAGTCATAGCCTTCCTTCCGGAGATAGAGGCGCAGGAAGCGTGAGACATCCCGGCCAGCGATGTCAATCCGCATGATGGAGTGGGGCATGGCAAAGCCTTCATAGATGGGAACTGCGTGGCTGACGCCATCCCCGGAGTCCAGCACCACTCCTGTGGTCCTCCCGGTCGCGTAGCTACACAGGGACAAAGGGCCAAGTCAGAACAAGCAACTCAAAGTGAGCCCAAACATGCAGCACATCCACGCTCATCTCGGGGAGCAGAGATGTGACATGAACAGAGGCTAAAAAACCCATCAAAAACTGAGTTCTCATCACAGTTCAGCAAATTCCTGAAAACTCTTCATTACAGAAACTGAGTTTCAGTTCTTACATGAAAAGGGGACAAGTCAGACATCACTGAGATCTTCTACAGGTTTTTTTTTTGGTTTGTGAAAGAATGGATTTCACGGCAACATTCCACAAGCACAAATCAAAGACAAAAGACACTTACAGGCTAAGCACAGCTTGCATGGAGATGAACAGTGCTGGCACATTGAAGGTCTCAAAAAACACCTCAGCAGCACGCTCTCTGTTCTTGCGCGGGTTTAGGGGTGCTTCCGTCAGCAGCACAGGATGCTGGCAAAGAGAAGAAGGAGCTGTGCTGCAACAACCAGGAGGCAGCTAGGGGTGTGTTCCTGAAAATTTCTGCTTATTTATTCACTTTTGGAACCACTAGTGCAAGAGGACAGGTAGAAAGGAATCATTTCAGATACTGAGCTGTGTTAGACTGTGAATAATCTCGATTAAGTTGGAAGACCAGCAGGGTTCTGGTCTAATTAAGAAGTGTTAGGAATCGTACTCCGTGAGTAACTCTGCCCCATGAAGGACAAACAAGACTCTCAGTGGCAGAAGTCAGTCAGATTAGCTGAAAGACCCTAAGAAAGGGTAAAGGCATATGGTCTTAGTATGAGCAGACAGAAATATTCCTACTCCACTTATACAGCTTATACTCTCAGACATGTAATAATCTTTCGGGCAGATCATTCCAGACCACAGGACTGTGGTTTTCTCCTTCCTCACTTCAAATTATGTCACTGCTGAGTGGATATGCCTGATGTGCAGGCAGAACAGGAAAGGTTAGAAGCACTTGGCCTAGAGCACAATCATTAGAGAGTGTGAATAGAAAATGTGAAAGGCAGATTTTCAGTCAGGCCAGAATATCAGATCAGGAGAGGAATTCTGCTTGGAACTTCTTGTGCAGTATCTCCTGAGAGGTGAAAGAACCTAATTTAACAACAGACACACATTCAGAGAGAAGGGCAAAGGAAAAGTCCCAGAGTTTCAAGGCTCCCGGTGTTACATATTGAGGTCTCTCACCTCCTCTGAGAACGTCTGAAGTTGGTCTTTAGAATACACATACTGCCAGATGCGCTCCATGTCGTTCCAGTCCTTCACTATGCCATGCTCCATCGGGTATCGGATTGCAAGGAGACCTCTGTGCTCCTGAGCAAACAGAAAGGACAAGAGAACATCAACAAACTCAATCACATTTCTGAGCACTGTGACTATGATTCAATGTCAGACTCAACTTGAGTTTTGACTCCACTACAAGATAACTTATCTCTATCATACAGGGAAAACCCTGAAAATTAATCACAAACATCTCTCCCAGAGAAGTATTCACAAGATTAGACAAGGCCTTTTTATACCAAGTAGGAAAGGCTGGCATTTGCAGAGCACATTCCATCCTAACGCTTTTCAAGCCAACACACAGACACCTATCAAACAGTGGTACTGGGGAAGGCAGTTCATAGGGCTCACAAGAAGTGTGAGACCATATGATTGTGTGTTGACAGAAAGAGGACTGTGGAAAGCAAGCTTCGTGTCCATGCCAGAGAGATACAGGCAATTAAATAGGGTCCATTTCTAGAGATCCCAGTCGAAAAGGTGCGGATGTACTGATACGGACCTAGAGGTAGTCTAGAAAAAAAAGAGATATAGGTCTTGGGAACAAGGTCTGTGGTCAGCAGATTGGCCCAAGAATTTCATGAAGCTTCCCACTCCACCTCGGACACCCACAGAAGTGACAATCTGTTCTGCTCTTCAGATCTAACATTGATAACCACGGAACCACAGCCCCTCCTTAGAGCATCATACCGAGATATATGGAGAAATGTGTGCAGGTGTTCTTACCTCTGCCTTTGGACCAATGAAAATGTCCCCTTCTAAAGCACCAGCCATAACACGAACGTGCTTTGGTCTGCCCACACTAGAACAGAGACAAGAGTATAAATGCTTCTACGGAGGGCTCAGATGCACCAAAGCATTACGTACTCCGTGCTCCTCCCTGTCCTAACCACGCTTTCTAAAGCAATGGGTGGGTCTGGGGGCACTACCAGGTGCAGACAGATCCAGGTTTGCTCTAAGCTAATCTCAGAATCAGAGGTGAAGAGAACAGACTGCAGACAGATTTGAATCGGTGGGATATAAGCCAGCTGAGTCTGGCCACATTTTCACTGATGACTCAGGGTTTACCTATTCCAATGGTGCCTGGGATGAACATGGCTAGACTGAGCAACTGTCTGAGCTGACAGATCCACATGGAGCTGTCTGACCTCAGGCAGGCTTCTCAGATTAGGCATTTCTGGTCCTATACCCCACCACCTCATACAGATCACACCGCTTAGAACACAACTTAAAAATTACTCATTAAAAATCACTCCATTGAAAATAAAAGCCAGTGACTAATAAGAGTTCTTGATCCAGCAGTCTTCATCCTGGCAAGACTCTCAGAAAACTTCCAAGGAAGTCTGACAGGAATCAAGACACTGGACCACCAAAGAAATATAGAGGTCTTCACACCTCTCATCCCAACTTTGACTTTTGCCAGGTCCTTTTCCTTGTGTCGACACAGTGAAGAATCCTACAGGTTTGTTTGTGTGTTGAACCTGACTAAGTGATAAATCATCTTTTATGATGTGTGTCCCCCGTGGCAAAACCTCAAAGTACTGAATAGCAGAGATCTCCTCTCCCTGATGCTTCTTTGCAGCAGGAAGAAAAGAATAACTAATTTCTCCAATTACTAAACTGGAACATTCCACCACTCTATGTATCAAAGAATTGGTAAAAAGTACTAAGAACTTACCAAGACCAGCAGAATACTTACTAGTTGGGAAAGCAGTATTTTGGTATTTGATCGCCCGCAAAACCTGCTTTAATCACACCCGAGCCCTGTGGGAGCAAGAGACAAATGCATGAGCTTATCATTCCCTCCATCATCCTCACAAGTTTTAGAGAAGTAGCAAAGTACATCAGCACTGCCAGATCCCCTCCTTTCTACTTGGAATAAAGCTCCCTAGGGACTGACTCTCTGGGCAGGGCTGGAGATGGGAAGTGCCAGCTTGGCCAGTGGAGGGGGGTGACAGGCAGCAACACATCACACAATATCAGCACAACCACCCGGGCCCTGGCACTGCTCCGTGTGCACACCCAGACACTGCTCTGTACACACCAGTATTCTTCTACCCAGTGCTACTGTGAGGGGTGCAGGAGGCTGAATCCACGCTCCACAGTTTTCTATCAATCTCAGATACTCTCTGGGTGGAAGAGAACACTCCAGAAAGACAGGCAAGTGCAACTGAACCCAGCTTCAGGGGGGCGTTGGGAGGATGAAGACTACAGGCCTCTCAGAAGTAATTTGGAAAGGATGGAGGGAGGGTAGATAAAGTCAGAGAAGGAAGTAGGAAAGGACTGTAGGAAACAGGTTGAGTGGAAACTTGGGAAAAGAAGATCAAGTGGAAGATAAACTAGCTAACACTAAGGAGGCAGGCCACAAAAATGTCAGAAAAGACACTGGAAACCAACCCAGCCTGGTGTCTGGAAAGGACAAAAGTGCTGGTCAGACTGCAAAGGGAAAGGCGGGAGGCAGGAAGTGCAGCTGACAAGACATGGCTTATTCAGAAGGAATAAGGAAGAAGAGATGAGGTATGGCAGTCAGTAAGGCACAAATCCAAAGAGCCTTCTGCAACATTCAAAGCAGCAAACACAGAGTGGGTAAAACCAGCCACAGCGAGGCCCTGGCAGGGAGTCAGTGCCAGGCATCTGGCCCTGCAGCTCCCGTCCCTGTCCGGAAGCACCCTGGGAACCCCTTCATCAACTTGGATCCATGCTGACTCCTTTCCCTCCTCCATTTCCTCTCCCTGCACAAGGGAATGACATCTTGAAACAATGAGCAGCTTGCAGGAACACCCAAGTTTTGCTAAGGAGCAGATTTTCATAGGATCTCCTTGGATAAGCCATTTCACTGTTAATCCCAGACTACCATGGGAGCAAGCTCTTCTGCAGAAAGAGAAGCAGTTCTGCTTTACCCCATACTGGCAGCAAAGTGTGCGAGTTTGCACTGAAAGCTGTGACCTGTGAAGTGCCTGTTCACTCTCAAGGGTTCTGCAGCAGGACTGCTCTGCTTTTGAGGCCAAAAAGACATTTTGGCTGTCCCACAGCATTTTAAAATGAGTAGCAACACAGCTCCTCTGTAGTTTTCTGCTTCTCACCACCTCTGCATGGGTCAGGAGGCTGAGGCTGGATGAGTTGCCCAGGGCTCTGCAAGACAAGCCCTGGCTGCAGCGGTTCCGCCATTCCGGTGCCAGAGGTTACCAGCCAGAGGAGGCTCAGCAGAAAGGAATGTGGGGTGTCCCCAGTCCAGCGCCTTCTTGCCAAGCTACTTCCATCAGCATTTTCAGCCAGGAAGCCGGGCTCTGCACGGAGCATGTGTGCTCTGCCACATGAGCCAGGGCGCCCCTGCCTTGAAACCGCCAGAGTCAGGTTTGCCAGGACACATCCGTAGGAGATGAGTGTCAGGAACACTCTGCAAACCAGACCTAGCTGGTTATAAAGCATATGGAAGGTAGATTGCTTGAAATCTCGTCTCTTGATAAACACCTGCACCCAGACTGGCTCCAGGAGCACACCCAAGCTGGCACCTGGGCAGGACTACTCCCTCTTGGCAAGAAGGACTCAGCTCCAGTTGCATCCCAAGGTCTGCACTAACTGATACCAGTGCGACAAACCGGCCTGTAAAGTGTTAGAAAGAGTTCCCTTGAGACAGACTCTCTTCTGGCTCCTCCCTTCAAAGTGAAGCAAGGAATAAAACAAAACCACTATTTTGATTTTTCTTAGCATAGCTTATAAACAACTCTCTACCTGGGAAAGAGTACCATACTTTGTCAAGTCTCAGAGCAAACAAGCTGAATGCAGTAAACTTAACCACATCAGAATATTGCACTTCTTGAATATTTTATTCAAGATAATGACTGATCTTGCTGCCAGCACAGTCTGCTGCTGGGAACTGGTTTCAGGAGAACAATGATTCTCCTATTTTTATTTAGAGATTGAAACTTTCTTACACTGGACCAAAAATTACCCAGCATGTCCTGCTGAGATTCCCAGCAAGTTATACATTTTAAGATTTACATACTGAAGTTCGAAGTTAACTGAATGTCCCGGTAGTTCAGAACTCCTACCTGGAGTCAAAGACAAATGACTGCTTTGAATGTGGTCAGATGGGGCTTCAACACAGTTGTGCTTCCAAGCGCCTGGGAATAAACCAAGCGCAGCTGTTTGCTACCTCCGCACTACAAAGACCTGACAGCACTTTCTGACCTATTCAATTTTTTTTGAACACGTTTTACTTCTTTGCAGATATATGTGCACTGAGTAAATGTGTTTATTACAGACCAGTTTGAGATTCCTACACAATGTGGAGAAAACATTTAAATTTTGAAATAACCCAGATTCAGATGGTTTAAAGACCTGTTTTTCCATCTCTGTTTCAAATAAGAAAAAACTCGTGCATCTTCCCTTCTGTTACAAACTCTGACTTACTAGAACTTAAAAGAAAATTTACAAATTAATACAAACTGCTTCCACCAGTAAGCATCTCGCCTGGGCTTTCATCCAATTTTTTATTATTTATTTTTTTACTTTAATATGAGCAAGAGAATAAAAGAAGAAACACTAGATGTAAAATGTATAGGTCAAGGAAGATAAATTCATGGAAAATTCCTGTGAGTACCATGAAGTAACTTAACATGCCTCATCCTCTGGCTCTGTAGCCAGTCAGTTACGGATTCATTCATCTTGATGCATGAATTTAAATGGAGATCACCGAGAGTCAATCTGCTACATGGCACTTTCTATAGAGAGTGCAGGTTTGATATTGTTGTAAAACTCTTATTAGATACAGATTTTATAAGATCAAGAACAAACCAAAGACACAACAGCCCTTACTGACGGCTCAGCTGCTTAAATGCCACCACTTAGGCTACAAAGCCAAATTTTATCCTCCTTTTATGAAACAAGGGATAATTTCACAGAGGTCAAGGAATTCACACTTTCTTAGGCCACCTCTGAGCTATCTACACGTGCATTAGGTTCAGCAGGGCTCTCAAACCATACAGAGAGCTTCTGGGACCGCAAGACAAGAACATAACTCATAAGAATTAGACAATGAAGAGCATTAAGGTTGTGCTGAGGTACAGCTCAACCCTCTCACTGTACATTACAAAACTCTCCCTGCTGAGAACAGGAGCACTGTTTGGTAAGAGGAAAAAAACCTCCTTGTTGAGTTTTTAGCTACATCCTTTAATGGCCTTTTGGAAACACACAGATACCGGAGCTCGGCTGGGACTGGGGAGGGTCAGGCTTGTTCATCAGTGCAGTACCTCATTTCCCCCTTCCCACCCTCCCACACACACCTCTCTGAGGAAAAGCAGCAATGGGACAGCCGTGGGAACGGCAGTACCTGCTCTGTGCAGCTCCACTTCCCGTCCTGCCTAAACTCCAAAGAGTACCAAAAATGCAGTGTCACCACGAGGCCCCTCGGCCTGCCAGCGTTCGAGGCAGATGTCACAACAACCGCTCCATTCTACTGCTTGTGCAGGGAGGGGAAAGGGAGGGAGCTCGCTTATCAGGGGGGCAAGAGGAAGAATTGGCTTTTATAAGACCAGCTGATAAAATGAGAAAAGACACAGAGTCAGCTGCTGGCACACGAGCCCTTCTTCAGCTCTGATGCAGGGGTGGAAATCATTGTGCTAAATAAGAGGACGCTGAAATTAGATACAGGCTGTTACTGTGTGACCATAGCTCCACAAACTCATCCTCACAGCACCAGAACGCCTAGAAATAACTTTAACAATCATCTAAACGCCCGACAGCACAGCAGGATCGGTGCTGCTCTGGTCATCTCTAAGGAGAATCAACCTAACACACTCTTTAATATCCCCAATAAAGAAGACACATGTTTTCTTCAACATGGTCAATTATACTGCTTAATCTCATTTTCCATTAGATGCTTTCCCTCAATGTCTAACCTAAATCCCCGTGCTGTGATTCCAGGGAAAGAAACAAAGTCAAAACTATATCAGAGAGCTCAAGGTGTAGAAAGGAAATTGGGACCAATAATAAAGAATGGGTCAGAAGAATAACTGGCTTGATCTGAGAACACCTACAATCATTCACTTTATGGGGACATAAAGGAATAAGTTGAGAAGTGCCAGCCTAGCAGGTCCACGTGTCATACAGCAAAAAGATTCAGCATAAATTAAGCTTTTGGAGAAAGAAAGGAGCACAATACTGACCCTTCAAAACAACAAAATCTGAATCTCTGGCAGTAGAGGTCAGAAGGGAGGAGCATGGATTTGTGACTCACTACACTTGAGGAGGCTCCCTCTAAGATACGCCCTCCCGCCCTTTCCTGGATGGTTCTTCTTCCTGGGAGGCCAGCTTGGATGAGGCAAACCAGAACTACACCCAGAAGTACCCAGGCATGGAATCACTGTCATTTATCTCCAGCCGAACTATTGCCCACACAGGTGCAGGTCTGCTTTGTGCTAATGAGCAGCAGCATCAGCTTGGAGCAGCCATCTGCAACACCGCACCACGCTGTCAATTACAGCTGATGCAACCCGTGCTGGGAGTAGATCCTTCAGGAGCACGGAAATCCATGCCTTGGGAGCGGCACCCCTTGCTGTGACCGCCGTGCTGGATGCACCGGAGGAAATGCAGTACCGGGGGGGTGTTCCCCTCTCGCTGGGGCCGTGATGGGGAGCCGTTTGCAGGGCTCCATGCCCCGCACGGGCCAAGGGAAGAGCGGGGACCCTCAAGAGGGCGTGGAGGTCCACCCAAGGCCTGACAGGACCCCGCTGGACCCCCGGCCCTGTCCCGGCGCGGAGCACGCCGGGAGCGCAGCCATGACCTGGCCCGGCACCCCCATTGTCCCCCCGGCACAAAGAGCGGCGGGGCGGGGCCGGGGCAGCCCGGCGTGACTGACAGCCCCCGCCGCCAATGAGCGCGGGCGCTGCTGCGGCGGTCCCGCCCCGCTCGGGCAGGTAGCAGCCTGACTGACAGCCGGCGCAGCCAATGGGGGCGCGCCGCCCCTCCCCGCCAGTGGCGGCCCGGCGGTGGCGGGGGCTGCGCCCCCCAGCGCGGGGCAGCGGCCCCGCCAAGGGTGACTGGCAGCCGCCCCAGCCAATCGCGGCGCGCCGAGGGGCGGCGGCCCCGCCCCCCGAGGACGCCGTGCGGCGCTGTGCGAGGGCCGGAGGCGGCGGCCGGGCCGGCCGAGGGGGGGGCGGCGGCGGGCGGGGCGCGGCCAGCCCCGATGACAAAGGGATTGCGGGCCCTCCCCGCTCCCCCCGCTCCCGGGACGCGCGGGCGGCCGCACTCACGTTGTCTATCACGACGGGCTGGTTCGCTATCACGTCGTACGACTCCATGGCGAGGACCCGCCGCAGCCGCCCGTCAGGGAGCAACAGCCCAGCCCTCGGCGGCGCATGCGCGGAGCGGGGGCGCGGCGCTGCCTGAGTGATGTATTCCAGCGGCCGCGGAGCCTGCCGGGAGTTGTAGTCCGGCGCAAGGCTGCGCCCGGAAAGGCATCATTCCGAGCGCGGGGCGTGCCGGGAGTTGTAGTCCGACACCGGGAGCGGGGCGCGCCGGGAGGCGGAGTTCGGAAAAAGGGAATGCTCGGGACACATCAACGGCCGGGAAACCGGTGGATGTTGTGGTCCAAGGGGGAACTGGGCACTTCCACCAAAAACGCTGCATCACGGTTGTCAGGTTTCCAACTAATAGATTTTCGCACACTAATTTTTTCTAATAGGAAGGGAGAAAAAAATGATCCCATCAACTATTGGAGAGAGGAATCTATGACTAAGGAAAGCATTTTATTGTCCCATCATTTCATGGGATTATCTCTACAAACTGCTGGTCCTAACACATCTGTTGCCTCTGAGAAATGCCAGTTTCTCTGCATTTTTGAGGCATGGCAACCACAAAAGAAGTGTTGGCACAAAGGATGCAGATCACAGGCATTTTGGTATTGAACAATGTGTTTCCTGTTGTTTTCCATTGGCTACATGTTCTAAAAGCACTTGGAATGATCTATGACTGAAACGCGGGGTCTTGAAATTAATTAAAATGAAACTCCATGTCAGTGAGTGCACTTGAAGGCTGATTCAGAACTCACCTGTCCTGTCCCACATCTCTCCTGCAGATATGGACTTTTCTCCTGTTGTTCCTGCCTGTAGCCCAAGCAGATAATCACAGAATTACAGAATATGCCAACTTGGAAAGGATCCATGAGGATCATTGACTTCATCTCCAGGGCCTGAACAGGATCATTCCCAAGAATCAAACCATGTGCCCAAGAGTATTATCCAAGTGCATTTTGAACTCTGTCAGGCTTGGTGCTATGACCACTTGCCTGGGGAGCCTGTTCCAGCACCCAACAACCCTCTGGATGAAGAATCTTTTTATTATATCCAACCTAAACCTCCCTGAAACAACTTCAGGCCGTTCCCTCGGATCCTGTCACTGGTCACCACAGAGAAGAGAGCAGTGTCTGCCCCCCTCTTCCCCTAACGAGGAAGTTGAAGACTGCAGTGAGGTGTCCCCTCAGTCTCCTCTTCTCCAGGCTGAGAGTCCAATCTAGATATTTACCTTTAGGGATCTTCACCATTCAACTACTGTAAAAGAGGGGCAGCAGAGCCGAGGGCTTTAAATTATTTCAAGGCCAGTGTTGCATCACCTCAGTGAGTGCCCGGAGACAGCTGTTATGTAAATAGGACTATAAACACGCACCAACCACACGCTTTGCAGGTGTAGCTCTAGCTGGGGAACGAGCCAGACCTTCCCTGTGCTCCCTACACGGGTCTCCCGTCTCCATGAGGGAGCCCCTCTGCCCTCACCCACAGCATCGCCCCGCCCACCGAGCATCGCCCCGCCCACCGGGCTAGCCCCGCCCCTCGCGGTGCCCCGAGCCGCCGCTAGAGGGCGCGCTCTCGGCGTGGCGCGCCGAGGGGGGGACAAGAGGCGTGGCCGCCCTCCTCGCCGCTCGTCGCCATTGGCGAATCCCCACTGTCAGTCACGCCGCCCGGGCCGTGTGGCCCCGCCCCCTACCCGCGGAGCCCTGCGCCGCGCCGCCATTGGCCGAGCCGCGCTGTCAGTCACGCCGCCCGGCAGCAGGCCCCGCCCCCTCCTGCCGCGGCCCCGCGCAGCCGCTTGGGCCGGGCCGGACCGGGCCGGGAGCGCCGGGCGGGAGCGCCGCGGGGTCGGGACCAGCCGGGATCTGCCGGGTCCAGTCGCCTCCGGGACATGGAGGGCGTGCGGCAGGGCGGGGGGCCCCCCGCGGGTGGGCCGGGGTCCGGCTCGGGCTCCGCGTCCGGGTCCTTCCCATCGCTGTTCCCGCCGGGGCTGCACGGTATCTACGGCGAGTGCCGCCGCCTCTACCCCGACCAGCCCAACCCGCTCCAGGTCACCGCCATCATCAAGTACTGGTGAGGCGGCCTGGATGGGGCCGGGGTCTCGCGTGGAGCGGGGGGGAGCGGTGGGGCCGGCGCCTTGTGGGGGATAGGAGAGGGTTTGGGAGGAGCGGTGGGGCTGGGAAAAGCAATGGGGCTGGGGACGTTGCAGGGGGTGAGGCCGCGGGGCTGGGTAGGGTCGCAGCCAGGGGAGAGGGACCGCGAGTTGTGCCCTGAGTTTGGGGTGGGATGCTCTTGTGGCCGGGATGGGATGGAGGCGTTGGGAATGCATTGGGTGCCCAGGAGATGTGTTTGCGGGGGTCCTAGGGAGGATACATTGGAAATAAGAGGAAGGGTGTAGGGAGAGCTGCACAGAAGACAGGAGGGTGTATCGGGGTTTCTGGGGTGATTTGAAGGGTGCGTGAGTGAGGGGTGGCTGATGAAGGCCGTGGCTGAGGCAGGTCGTACAAAAGGGGAGGTGTGTGTTGCTCGCTGGAGCGTTCCCACAGAAGGTGAGGGGCTGGAGTTTCCCCTCCTGGACAGGAGCCACGAGCTCTGTCTTGTGGCCGAGAGCTTGGGGTTCCAGCGTGGTCGGCACTAACCGGAGTGATCCCGCACTCCGGCCCCAGGCCGGACACACGCCGTGCATATCAGCAAAGCCCACGGGGCAGTGCCAGCTCCTCTTGGCCTTGCACAGCCATGTGTTATGGCAGACTGTGAATCTGCTGCTCGGTATCTCTGCTGACACAGTGTCTGACACCGGGAACAGCCGTTGTTTATGTGGGAGAGTGGCATGAAGGAAGTACTTGGACGTTTAGCTACGGAGTAAGTGTGTAGCATCTAACCTCTTGTGAAGAGGAGTTCCTTTTGCTTTTTGCTATCGCTTTGCTGCTCAGCCGCCTCTTCCGGCCCTAAGGAATGTGATCAAGTCACGCTTGAGTGTTTGCTGTACCTGATATTGACCAATCCCTACCCCGCCACTTGGAAAAAGTTTAGTCAATGCTCAGCTTCTTTATTTACAGTTCATTTTAACTCTATCTGGTTAGATTCCCGAGGAACAGCAGAATAACATCCTCCCCAGTGCTGCTCTGACAGACAAGCTATTGCTCTTGTTTTTCACAGTACTGTTGTTTTTTATGCTGTTCTAACAAGAAGTTTGTCTGTTAGCCCCTATTGCTTAGGGGGGTTATACTTAAACTGACACAATGGGCTGAGATGTTGCAAATCCGAGACTTCAAAATACAAATAATTTCCTGATTATCTGTGTGCATCAGTACTTTGGTGATGGTCTGATCAGTCTGTTTTTGTGCCCATTTCTAATCTCAGATATTCAACCCCGAGGAGTTTCCAGTCACCTCGATTTGGAAGTCAGCACTTCTTTCCTGTCAACAGCTTAAAACAACGCTGACTAGAGTGATGTAAGATTTGTGGGGGTTGAGGGAAATGTAGGTATATACTGAAGAGTGGCAGAGCCCCTTGTTTGGGAAGAAACTTTGCTGCTTGCTTGCTTAAGGGATTGATTAGGATTTCACTGCAATTGGAGCTCAAACACTGGAAAAACTGCTATTGGCAGTGATGGCAGGTTGCAAGTAAGAAATAGTGTGAAGGCCTGTTTATCCTGGCACTTTCCACGCAGTGGTTCTTATGACTGTCAACTCAGCAGCAAGAGCCGAGAGCTTTGCTTGTAGAAACCAGAGGTGAGATTCTTGCTGCTGTCCTGTGCAGGAAGTTCTTGTGCAAGGTGAAGCCTATGTGGACACTGCACGTACTTTCTCTCCCTTTGTTAGATGAAATTTGTCGCTTGGTTTTGTGAAGTCTGGTAAAATGACTTTTCCACAGCTTACTCTCCGCTAATCTGTCCTCCTCTGCCTGGGCTGCCAGCTATTAGCTGGTTTAGATTAAAAGTGGAAATTGCTGAACTAAGTTCCCTGCCTTAGGAGAAATATTGTAACACTAAATCAGCTTTTAATTATATGTATCAGTATCTCTGTGGTTAACAGCGTATTTTTTTTTGTTTGTTTGAGTAGCTAAGTCATAGTCCTCAGCTTGCATGTCAGAGCAGATCCTTACTATGTAATGTTGGAGAATCTGCAGACCTCCATGCCTATTACATGGAGGAGTTTAGCCATGTGAGTTTTTTAATGGAACTAGCCTTTTTTTAAATGCTAATTGCATATCTTGGGAGAGAGTTTGTGATTCAGTCTTTTTGAAGAGTTTTTGGCTGTGTTTATGAAGGCCACGTGCTAAAATGGAGTTTTTCTCTATTGATGTCCAGTGTCCACTTCTATTATACAATATGGTTGACTATCTTTAACTGAAGTATCTTGTTGCGTAGAATTGCTGGTGAAACAAGCAAATATGTACTTTCCTTTGTGACAGGTTTTGAAATAGGCATAGTTTGGGCTGGACTGTTGGTTTTTCATCACCTGTCTTGAATTTAGGCCATATACTCAAAAACCAGTGCAGTGGTTTGGTCTGCAGCCACTTGGGGATCACAGATTACCTCTGAAGGGTTGTCAGAAGGTAGCTGTGAAAAGCGGTCCTGTTGTCACCTGCTGGGAAGTGGCTATGAACCATACACTAAGAACTTCTCAGGGTGAATGAATTGGGAATTTTTGAATTTTTTTCCATTGTGGATCTGTTTCCTCTGCCAGCTTTGCGTTTCTACTTCCACAGAAACTTCAGAGCACTCTAAACATCAGTCAAAAGAAGACTCTTGGTGCAGATGCAAATCCGGGGTTTCCCCCGAGGCTGCCCTTCTTGTTCCTGAATGAGCTTCATGAATAGAGAATGTAACAAATTTGTACTGTACCTCTGGCTTTGAAGTTCGGCTCTTCCTAATAAAATCCTCCAACGCTTCCAGCTCTTTGTGTGAACGCATGTACTGATATGTAGATTGTGATTCAAGGTCGAACCCTGCCACGGCAGCCGTGGGTGGGAGGATGTACCACAATAGGCATCAGTGGCGCCCAACCTTAGAGCAGTGAAACCTGCCACCGAAACTGGATGAATATCTGTGCTGACTAACCTTTGGTGAGCCTTGGGTACGCTACTAACTGTGCTCCGG